TAAACCAAAGACTCTCTGCTCTTATAAATGAATTCAACAATGCCACTGCGGCTGCTTCAACTTGAAAATAAAATACCGCCAATGGTAGTAATGAACTATAAAAATGCAATTTCAAGCCACTGCTTCTGGGTTGTTGTTTTTATTGGTGTGTGAAGCTAAACATCAAAAGGTGGGGGCACAGGGTGTTTTTGCACAATGATGTTCTTCTGGTTATTCATCTTCACAGTAAACACTATAATTTAACCTAGCCAAAAAATGTATACTAAACAATATTTTGGAGTACCTGTTCCAAGGCCAATGTCTAAAATTACACATTTAGCCATAGCATGACAAAAAACTGGCAGTCATGGGTTTGGGTGGAGTTCTTTCAATTTTTGCTTAATCCAATCAAAGATATGGCATCTTCAGCTCAGATCACCTCCCCCCCCAAAAAAAAGTAGGATAACATCAAGGTAAATCTATAACACTGCTAATCTCAAATAGAATATAATAAAACATTTGTTGTCACTTTAAATGTATCCACTAATCAGAATATGTTAAAATGAAATCTCATTACATTCAGGTCTCAAAAGAGCCATTGTGCATATACCCACATATACAAACATATATGACACAGAGAAACATCACAGTCTAGTTTGAACACACACACACGCACATATGGTGGGAAAAAAGAATCCTGTGAACTTACAAGACAGATGGCATAGGGAACAAAGCTGTTATATGTCTAGTAGTCCTGTTATAGATACCTCGAAACCTCTTCCCAGAGAGGAGCAACAGAAACAGACCAAGGAGTAGGTGTTTGGAGTTTCTAACGATGCTTCGAACTCTAAGCACATAGCGCTTATAAGTGGTATACTGAATGATGGGAAGCAATCTCAACTGTCCTTACCACCCTTACCCAGAGGGAAGCAACAGAAACAGACCATGACATGGGTGTGTGGGGTCTCTAACAATGCTTCAAGCATTGTTACACAAAGAAGTATTAAAACCTAATAGGCCCAGTTTGTTCACCAAATGCTGAGGAATGATAGCATTCCCTTGTTTTCATATAATAGTGTTCTACATAAAAGAAAATTAGACTTAAGTCAAGAAATATTTAATTACTGTTGTGTGGCTATTTTGAAATATTTTTCACTCTGCAGAAAGTCAATTCTTTTTTCAACTTAAATATGAATTTTGGTTTTATGATCACGTTTTGAATAATAAGAACTGCCTTCTAATTACAGAGGTACAAATTGTCTCACATATGTAACTGAAGCAAGTTCCAGTAATCTCATCTCCACATGAAAATCACTGCAACATACAGACAATTTTAAAAAACATACCTTTTGCATTCATAAAAACTAAAAAGTCTATTAAAAACAACCGAGGGAACAAAAGAAAAGGCTGCATTTTCATTAAATATTCCTTGATGAAGATTAATATTGCTGTCCGTACACAAGTGGTCGTACTTGTTTTTGCTTAGCCTGTGTTTCTAGTCAGTCATACCAGGCAAGATGGAACGTGTATGTATGGTTCAACAAGTTAAATATATATAAATCTGAATTTGATTTATAACTGAATCCTACCCATTTTAAGTCCACTAGCTTGGCAAAGAAATTCCATTTAGCATTCAAGATAGCTGTGGTTATTTAACTGTATAGTGTCTTGTATTAGCGCTTGCTTGAACAGACAGAGTTTTCAACTTTGTCAGTCAAAACTAAAAACAAAACAATCGTCATTCACTTTAAAACTTCACCACTTCTAAAAATAAGGCATTGGAAATGTGGTATTTAGGATAATTTATTACTTACATTTAATTTCTATTAATCTTTAATGTAAATAAAATTAAAATTTAGGCTTTACATTACTTCTAGTGCTTTTTGTGATTGAATGATTTGAGTGATCCAAACTGCCCATTCAAAAATGTATTTCTACAAAATATGTATGTACAGAGGAAAAACAACCTTATTCATAATAATTAACAACCATGTTGCTCCTGTTGAAAAACTATTTTTAAAAGGTAATACTTGAGTGTGTTAATTATAATCTCACGTTGCTTCCTTGAATCCAGTATGGCTTATGTGTTTCACAGAAGAAATAAAGAATGTAAAAATAACTGGCACACACACTTTCCCCCTTGCAGAGTTAGGAATCCTCTGTCAGTAACAGAAATAATATAGAGAAAATATGGGTCTCCAGACATGCTGCTTCCTTTCAATAGGGAGGGATTTAGTTTTATGTGGGAGCAGTAAAATTTAGTTTTATGTGGGAGCAGTAAAATGTAAAATTTCCTTGAACATAGTCTCAAAAAATATATCAAGGAAGAGCTTCTGCATTTGAGTATGGATTTGTAAGATGAGCGCAATGATCAGTAAATAAAAGAAGATTAAAAAGCTTTCAGACATTACTTTGTTAAATGTATGGTAAGGCTACGAGTTCCAGCTTTTTAGCTTTTTTTCTGTCATAATTCATCTATTTCTTGTGAGCTCGTATGGTAAAGGAAACCCAGATTCTTGTGCACCATTAGTGAAGGAAATTCACTAAATGACATTGAGTCCTTTATTCTCTTAGCCCAACCACTTCACGGGGATGTGGCAGCCCTGAAAAATATGTCTAGGTATCAGCATGTCCCCAAAATCTTGACAGACTTGAACACGGGGTCCTACACGACAAAATGAAGATCTTATACTTAGGCAAGGGAAAACAAATGCACAGGTATAGAAAAGGTGATATCTAGCTCAACCGTAGTAACTGTGAGAAGGTCACTAAGAATCCTAATGGACAGCCACTTAAATATCAGCCAGCAGTGTGCTTCATCTGCCAAAAGAGTCAATGCAGTCTTAAGCTGTATCAGTAGAGAAACAATATCAAGATCATAAGAAATATTAGTACCACTATATTCTGCCTTGGTAAGACCACACTTGGAATACTGCTTTCTGGTCTGGTCACTACAGTACAAAAAAGATGTTGAGACTCTAGAAAGAGTGCAAACAAAGGTGATTAGGTGCCTGGAGTTTAAAACATATGTTGAATGATTGCAGGAAATGAGTATGTCTACTCTAATGAAGAAAAGGACTAGGGATGATGTGATAATAGTTTTCTAATCAGTGGTGGGATTCACATTTTTCTACTACTGGTTCTGTGGGCGTAGCTTGATGGGCGTGGCAGGGGAAGGATACTGTAAAATCTTCAGTCAGAGGTGGTATTTGCCAGTTCTCTGCACTACTCAAAATTTCCACTACCGGTTCTCCAGAACTGGTCAGAATCTGCTGAATAACCACCTCTGCTTCCAATGTTTCAGAGGCTGTCAGAAAGGAGAGGAAGACGATATATTCTCCAAAGCATCTGAGGGCAAGACAAGAAGCATTGGATGGAAACTTATCAAAGAGAGATCCAACCAAGAACTAAGGAGAAATTTCCTGACAGTGAGAATGAATAACCAGTGGAATGGCTTGCCTCCAGAAATATGGGTGCTCCATCATTGGAGGTTTTTAAGAAGAAGTTCGAAAGCCATTTGTCTGGAATGGTATAGGGCAGTGGTGGCTAACCTTTTTGGGCTCCTGTGCCAAAAATTGTGTGTGTGCTTGCATGTGCTCACACTCGCGTGCCAGCACCCAGAAGGCAATCCTTGAGCAATCCCCCCCGCCATCCCCTTACCTGCACTGTGCCTCCCAGCTGATTTTCAGCTGGTTTGAGGCCTTTTTTGGCCTCCCAGAGGCTTGAGGAAAGCTTCTGCAGCCTTTGCAAGCCGGAAAAGAGGCCCGTTTTGTCACTTCCAGTATTTCCGGAAATACAGGAAGTGATGAAACAGGCCTATTTTTCGGCCTGCAAAAGTTAAAGAAGCTTTCCTCAAGCCCCTGGGAGGCTGAAAAAAGCCTCAAACCAGCCGAAAATCAGCTGGGAGGCACACGCATGTGCAGTGCGGTATGTTTGCCGGCAGCTTGCGTGCCGGCACAAATGGCTCTGCATGCCACTTCTGCCTCACGTGGCATAGGTTCGCTATCACGGGTATAGGGTCTCCTGTTTGAGCAGGGGGTAGAACACCTCTAAGGACCGTTTCAACTTTGTTATTATGTTAAAAGGATTATTTGAACAAGAATATTACAAGGCATTATGCACATAGTTTAAACCTCTTTAATTTATTCCAGACAAACTAAAGACACAACCACAGTATGCAAACAAAACAAACAAAAATGCAAGAGAATTACTGTTCATCCTCCTTTTGGCAAGCTTGCCTTGAGTGAAGCATGAAAATCCTCCATCTAAATTCTGCCCTTAGCTGAGCTACTTGTTGCTCAGTAATTGCCATCAACAGCTCAGTTATCCTGATTAGTGGAAAATAGTTTCTGCCATAAGTGTACCTCCTGAGAAAGCTGACATCCTTTTAAAAATGGTTTCTAGGATTTGTGATAGCAATCTCAAAGTTTTTGCTAAATCTAAGAAGGCATTCTTCTGAAGTGCAGGCTTAATTTAAAAGAAGCTCAAGAAAAACCAAAGTCCTGAAAGTTAAAGTCAACATGGCTTGAACAGTAGATCATTCATTTTATGTCTAAGATGTTCTTAAAACAAGGGCAAGGGCCGGGGGAAAAGGTGATGTGGACAGTTAGAACTGGAAGTGAAAACGGCCCAAGAATTTGTGAGAGGCTATAACATATATAAATTGTGACCTCTTCTGAGTAGGAACATGACCCATTCGAGATTCCTCATGACTTCTTATAGAAAGAGAGAGAGAGAGAGAGAGAGAGAGAGAGAGAGAGAGAGAGAGAGAGAGAAATGGATAAAGTGACAGTCTTGGCTCAGAGAAACAAGCTTCACGCACTTCGTACATGCATTGTTGAATGTAAACAAAGAGAGTAGCGCCATGTCCGCAATTTTGCCTAATTTGACCATCTCCATGCTGGACAGTACCCATTTATCTCAGCAGATAACCTTCCAACCTGGAATATACAGGTTTGTATATAGAATATACAGAACTTCAATTTTATAAAAAAATCTATAGAACTTATTTTTATACATACCTGTGAGGTAGGTATTATGTGAGGAATTGATAAAATAATGAGACAGAGGCTGGCTCATATCTTCATTCAAATCCAGTTTTTCAGGTGGAACAACTCCATTTTCTTCTCCACTTAAGTATCTCATAAATCCATCCACTGATATCTGTCCTGGGAGAAAAGAAATTCAAAAGTCATATTATTTAGCTCCATATGTTTCACTTGTAGCTTACAGGCTCACTTAATAGTTCTACAAGGCAAAACAACACATTATTTCTTCTATCAACAGCAATATACTGTACTGTAGGTTCTATGGTTCCTTGCACCTTTATTGCTGTAGTTCTATTAATCACTTGTTCAACCAGATATCCTCCAGATGTGTTGGCACTAAAATTCCAAGAAATCCCAGCAAATATGCCCAAATTCTTTTCTTCTAAGAGTTGGATGTAGAGAAATACGTATAAGTTTTACTTAAGTCAAACATACTAGGTCCACTATGTATTCCTCAGTCTGTATTAAACAGCCAATTTCTCAGTGCCTCAAATGTCATAAAAGATAAGGATCTGATTGCAAAGGAGGAATGCCTGCTACTACTTTCATCAGATTTCTTTAATAACCATTGCCTTGAAAGGTCAAAATGAGAAAGAGAAAAAATTCCCAACCGATGCATACAATATGACTTCAACATTTCTCCTTTTAGCTTTATCTTTTAGTTGTCAAAAAAAAGGAAAAAAGTTTAATGAAGGGAGTTTCAGAATAAGTTCTTCTTCACAAGAAAAAAAATGTTCCTAGAAATCTATGATCTGTGTTCTACTGATTATATTGCAGATTGACTGCACTATCTTGATTTGAGTAACAGTCGCAAGGATGGTGTTCTCGCAATATCGCAACCCTAATGCCCCATGTACTCATGTGATTAACAGCATGACTTTAGTTTGGCTTCTGCTCAATTGCTCAACAGAGGAAACAAACATACTTTGCATTGCAAAACAAGTTTGAAAATTGTCTATTCTGGTTGTCTTTAAGAGTTCAGAAATTACACATTCAAAAACTTCCATAAAATGTGGCATATTGGGCTGGTGAACATCCCAGCCAGCTCAAGGATAGCTGGCAAGTTCCACAATTGCTATGGATATTAAACAGAAGTGGTTTATATGAAGAAATATAATTAAAAGATGTGCTGTTCTCAGATGCAGCTTCCTGCAGCTTCCTGATGTTCTTTCTAATCTCCTACATTCTTCATAAGGATGCACATATCCGAATTAGAACGATTGCACTGCTTGCAAGCAGCAGGACAAAGACTTTCCCAGCCAGAAGCTATTTAATGTCTCTTATTATAATTTTTTCCATATACTCATCAAGTTATTTTCATTGTATATGTGGATTATCACTGCATGAGAGAATGAGTAGGTATAAGCCTATTGATCCAGCACCTTTTGTTATATCTTCATACCCCATGATATGTTGAACCTTGGAAGAATGAGATTTTTAATCCATCAGTAGTTCGATGCAGAAACAGCCATGCCATCAGCCTGCACTCTCAAGAAGTGGAGAAGAGCAGGGGCCATCATAAGACAACAAAAAGGCAAATAAATAGGATTCCTACTCCATTTCTTGATCACGGTATGAACTCCTAAAGAAATCTGCATTCAGCCCAAAGACTTTGTGCCAGGTTGGCAAGGTGCATCAATAGAATCAAGGATGTTAAGATACTTTCTTGGATGTCCCAAAGGTGCTTTTTCAAGAGGCAACTGGATTTTCTTTTTTTTTCTTTTTGGAATATATTTCGCTTCTCATCCAAGAAGCTTCTTCAGTTCTGGGTGAACTGAATGAATTTCTGGATGAATTCAGAAATAACAAACCTAACAGAAAATGGATCCTTCTCTAAAATGTCCATACTTTCCAACAACAACTTAGAATGAGCAAAAGTCATCAAGCCCACAAAAATCACACTGTCAACATTTGATAACAATATATAGAAAGTTAAAAGAAAAGAAGCTGTAAAATACCTCAACATTCAAATATCACAACCTGGTGAATTCATTGGAATCATGAAGTCAAAATAAACCAGTAAACAGCATTCTTAACAAAGTCTTAATTTGATCTCAGAACAATCCATAATCTTCAAACCAATACTACTGTATACCTAGAACTACTAGCAAAACACCTAACTGAAAATAATATGTGCTAGTTTCTATTGTTGTATCAAAAATATAAACATACGTAAATTTAATATACGTTATACTAGAAGAGTCTGAAATACAATATGTATAGATGCCATAAAAAGATGGCTTTTTTTACTTAAAAACATGCTATTTTTATTCTTCACTTGAGTCTCATTTTAAGCTTCTTTCTATAAACACAAAAGAATGAATACCATGATTTTTTTTTATGCAATGTAGCTGGGGAGTGAATACTCTGACCTGTTCGACTGATACATATTTCTGTAATTAACAAAAATATAGGTTAGCAGATGAGCTTATTTTAAGAACATTCCTGCAATCTATTTATACACATATCTGTACATGAATTATTCAAGAGTACTGTGCATATTCTTTAATGATCTATTAAAGAATAGCTTCTTTCTGTTAAGCTGGAAAAAAAATCCTCTTCTTCTTCCTTCTGTTTTTGTTTTTCAAGAAACAGATTTAAAATGCCTCATTACAGTATCCATGATACTTATACTGCTTATTCTTAAAAAAACAACATTTCCAAGACAATATGAATGCTTTGCTAGATTCTGAAGATTTCAGATACAGCTAAAAATAAAAAGATCATTTTTAAAAAACCAAAACACCCCTCATTGTCTTATTTAACAAACAGGATGTACCGGAAGCTATTTAAATTCTTTTATCTGGGGTTCTCTCAGTTCTTAATTCCTTATCACAAGAAACTTAAAACTATTTTTTTTCCATGCAATCTTCAGCTCATAGCAAAAGTGAATCAAGGTTGTGTTTTTTCCCCTTTGCTCAGGGACCCCTTTGCTGGTCAAATCTTGTTGGATTTCCTAAAATTAAGATGTCCTCTTAGGGTTAGGGAACAAATGTTGAAGGTGTACAATAGAAACATTCATTAATATGGCACCTGTATTATTTAATATACAAATTAACTTGGCAAAATTATAATTATTAAATGCATACTGTTAAAGTATGCATACTATTAAATAAAGGATCTATTTATAAAATATAAAAAACCCACACTCTAAAAAGTATTTAATAATTGTAATGTTTGATGAGCCTTTGTTACATTATTTTCTCCACCAAGGACCTGAAAATCACATTGACATCTTCTAGATTGTCTCTACATTCTTCTGTATGAGGCTGAAATAGTGCTTATGTTTTCTGGGTGGGGGAATGATACTTGGCTTTTTTTTTGTTTTTGCTTTTGTCCACTAAAAGGAATCCATTTTTGTGTGTGAGTACTTTTAGAGCAAAGAACTATCAATCAAAAGTCATTTTGTCTCTGTCTCCTTAGCAATAACAAAAATCAAATTGATCTCTGCAGGTCTATGCAGAGATCCAGTTATCAACGGCAACACTGATGTGGGTTGTCTATTGCCACAGACCTGCCCTCTATCAGGAACTTCTTAAAGATGCCGTATCTTTTCCTGGGATGGTAATGAGCCCAAGCCAGTTTAAGTAGGCTATTGCTGATTCTTAATCACATTTTATTAATTTTAAGTCTGGATCTCTTCGCAGCTTTAACATAAACATATTATCAAAAAACAAACGAAACCACCGAGAAAATATAGTTTTAGCACTGTGCTGATGCTGCCTTCATCAGCCTAGAATGAATTCAAACTGGAGGAGAAGGCAAAGCTTGCTGAACAAAAAGCTAGGAATGAATCTAAACAATAGCGCTATGACATATGCAAAAACTGGCGATACAGAGGCAATGGCGCTGAGAGGAAATAGGAAGCTCTTCCTATAAAGTGTTTCCTTTATGCCTGGCCATTATTTTGGGGTTAAGTCTTTTCCCTCACTACAATGGATGATTTTTCTAGGGACTAATGCCAATTGCTAGTATTTTTCAGGATAAAAGATCCTCTGCTCTGTCAGCCTCTTCCTTTATTATTTGCCTATCTTGAGATGATCAGAGCGATTCTCAAGTTATGTAAGGGCAGTCCAAGCAAAACCTTGAAGGTTTCGCCCTACTGTTCTCTGGAATGCCAACAAAATTCTCAGCATCATTTTATCTTTCTGATACCAATCAGAATTGAAATATTCAAGTTGAGACTCTGACAGATGCCCATCCAGGCAGTCCTAGGAACATACATTGTCTTTTCAAAAAAGAATATCTTCTTTTGGTATATAACATTTTTTCCCCAAAAGCATTCATATTTAATATCAGAAATATATATTATTTTTGTGAGAGATGGGTGCATTTAAATGACTATGAATGTGTTTAAATCATAGGCCAATTAGAATTCTTCAGAATTCTGGCTTATTTGTGAACAGGCAGTCCAGTGGTGGTATTCGACCGGTTCTCATACTCACCTTTACCCTCTGAATTTGAAGCGCAGCTGCTTTGTGCAGCACAGAAGAGTGCTGCGTGGCAGCTGCTGTAGCGACCCAGAGAGCGCAGGCTTGCAGGAGGTGAGTTAGAACGCCTCTGCGCCTGCACAAATGCTTCTGTGCCTGCGCAAAGTACGCATTTGGTGCATGCATACGCAAAGCTTGCCCACCAAGCCACGCCCACCAAACTGAGGGTAAAAATATTTGAATCCCACCACTGAGGCAGTGTAATAAGTAATGCACATATCTTTCTAATTGCCTCATCCATGTTTCAATATATACAGTAGATGGATGAATTTGTGATATGCTGACTGTTGACCAAGGCAGGGACTCTGGCTTTTTCACCTCCCAAAAGTTTGGACTTTGGGTTTCTGAAACCAAAGTGAAGTTTTTGGTTTCTGGATTCTGGTTCCTGGGATGTTCTAAGTGGGATGCATCAAAGCCAATGGTTCAGATGAGACAGTAAATGAACTGGAGATGAAGAGATCTGGGATTTGAGGACCAAAGTAACGCTCATTTTCTAATACAAGACCTAACTTAATATCTTTCCTGAACTCAGCTAAAGCACCTTTTGATGCTCCAATTAGCATTAACTTCAACCAAATTAAAGAAAATGTTTACATATTTTCCAATTGCAAATGCAATTCAGCTGATTGC